AGCATGGCTGGCTGGGGAATTCTGGGAGTTGAAGTCCACACAGCTTCAAGTTGCCAAGGTTGAGGAACCCTGATTTACGTGATACATTTAATCAGGTAAAGATTAGCAGCTGTGTTTGTACCATGTGCTAAGTTTAGTTAGCCTTAACCTTGGCTTAGTGTGCAAGACCATTTGGTCCAGGTGCAATTCAGCATATTGTGCAAATCCAGAAAACAGCTCATCCAGCATCCAGGTTAAGCCTGTGGTGTCTGAATGCAACTACTGAGCCTCAAACTCACCATCTTCCCTTTTGCCCAGCCTGTGAATAGAGCCAGGGTGGAAAAGAAACACCGTTGCACCAAGTGGGAAAGTCTTTGTCTGCAAACCATCAACATGATATAAACGAATGGGGACAGCATGATATAAATTTGCAGCAACGCTTCACAGCAGGATTTGGTTAAGCCCTACTGCCTTGAATGGTGCTAAGTATACACAGGATAGCCCTCTGGCATCTATTTTTTTTAAAAATTATGATATTATTATATAATATGGGAATGGCTTCCCAGTTGTCTTCCCCCCCAAATGCCTTTTGGAAGCTGTTCAAAGCAGAGCTCTTCCAGAAGGCATTTATGCACTGATCCCATCTTAGTTTGGTTATAGTTTGCCTTAATTAATGTAATTTTATGCTACGTTGTAATTCTTTTGTAGACCTTTTTAATTAGTGCGCAAACCTTTCCTTTGCACGCTTTGTATACTGTCCTTGCGTGTCTTCCTTGCAAGCTGCCAGAGCCCTTAGAGATTCAGCAGTCTATAAATTTCAACAGTAACAACGATAACAGCAACAATAATCACACGTCTCCTGCGTGTCTACGCTTCCTTGCCGCAGTCCTCCACTACCACAAAGTCGGACGCCTAGAGCGGCTGACACCATCGACAAGCGTGGCGTCCGGCCGAGGGGAGGACATCGCGTCAGCCGCTCTAGCCCGCACGACGGCGGCCACAGAGAGTCAGCGTCAGAACGGCCGAGTGCGCCTGCGCGCAGTGTCGTTTTCATCGTCGTCGGTGGTGGAGAAACCGAGTCGGAGGCCTCAGAGGGGCCGGAAACAGCGGTGAGGGACGGGGCTCGTTCGCTGCTCGGTGCGGTTGGGAAGCGGAGAGGACTCCCGAAAGCGGGGTGAAAGTGGGAAAGCTGTCGCCCGCCGCGAGGGCCTAGTCGGCGTAGGCCAGGCCCGGCTGTTTCTGAGGGGAGCCTGAAAGGAGGGGCGGAGCTTGGCTTCCCTCGCAGGAGAGCCGGCCACGCCCCTTCAGGGCCTCACCGTTCTATTCCCCCCCCCGGGTCTGCCACGAATTCGGTCGTGCGGCGGTCTCGCCCAAGTCTCGCGGGAACATCGGTGGCACTTCGCAGCTGGAAACAGATGTTGACGGTCCCTCCCGCCCCCCGGCCGTTTCCCCCTTTCCCGAGTGCGGATTCGACCGATTCCGCTCGCGCCGGGGACCCCAGCTGGTGAGGGGGAGAAAACAAAAAAAAAACACCAGACCAGAAAGAACACAGCGCAGCTAACTT